GACACCAGGACGCCCCTTGAGGGGAGTCCAGGGCCCCAAAGCCACAAATACTTCCAAGCTGGGAGGGGCTGGGGGGTTTCCTGGGGAGAAGGACCGGGGTCGCTAGGGTCGCTCACGCCACCCTGAGAGGCAGAGGTGGGAGAAATGGGTGGAAAGGGCTGGAAAGCTCCCTGAGCCAACCTGAGAGTTACTTCACTTTTGGGGAGCAGCCCCGTGTGAACCCCGCCTTCAATGCCAAAGACCTCCTAGCAGGGGGGGACCAGCTTGGAGAGGCAGGGGCCTGCCGAAGGACACGCAGGCAGCCGTGAGGGTTGCCTTCTCCTTGCCTTGTCCTCTGACCACCTCCAGGGTCTAAGAGGCCCCGAGTGTCATGCCAGGTCCTGGGGGAGCACTGGGGCACAGGCCCTCCTGGATAGCAGCAAGATGTGGACACGCCCACATCCAGTACCCCACTGCCTTCCGGCCCCACCTCACCAAAGTTAATGCTGCTTGTTTTTCCTTCTAATCTCGACGGCACTTGGCTGAGGCCCCTGCCTCAGGTAAGCAGTTTCTTGTGTTTATGATGACAATGGCAAGGCCCATGTAGCAGGCACCTCCCGCGTCTTGGTGACGCCCTTAACTGACCCTAATCACCCAGCCACCTGGTGGCTGCTGTACCCCATGTTCTCTGAGCAAGGGGAGCTAATATGGCAGACAGTTAGTAGGGCAGGAGGTCCCTGGGTGGAGCAAATGGTTTGCACTTGGCTGCTAACTGAAAGGTTGGAGGTTCAAGTCCACCCAGAGGTGCCTCAGAAGAAAGGCTTGGCAATCAACTTCCAAAAAATCAGCCATTGAAAACCCTGTGGAACACAGTTCTACTGTGATGCACATGGGGTGGCCATGAGTCAGAGTTGACGCGACAGTGTTGGGGGAATGGTCTGCCTCTCTGCCTCCCATCCAGGCTGCCTAAGTAAAGGCCTTGGGCCTAGAACATTCTCTAATAAGGAGGCTGGGAAGTGGGTCTCTCACACCCTCTCAGTCCCTTCTCCTTATCAGAGAAGCCTTCCCCCTGTTCTGGGCATACTGTAACCTTCTCTGTCTCTCGCACACGTGCGGGTACCACATGGCACCTGGCCAACCCTACTTCTATAGGGGTTCTCAGAGGGGAGGGAACGGGGTCTCTGCTACTACGGCACAAGAGGGGTGAATGTAGAACATCTGCCCTGTACCTGCCATACGCGGGATGGGCCTCCTGGCCATGGGAGACCGTGCCCACTGGTGAAGCTGACTTTGCTCTGTCTCTTCTCGGTGTGAGTAAAACGTTTCCCATGCACTGACAGAGCGTTTGTGCAGTCTTTTGCTGGAGACTTCGAGCTCTGGGAGTTGACTGATGGCAACTGGTTTGTTTGTTTTGGTTTAGTGAGGCAGGAGTGCTATTGGATCAGACGACGTCGGATCAGAGGCCAGCACCCTGCACACCCCCGGCCCATCCTGACCACACGCCCGTCTTGTACAGATGAGAAAATGGGGGTGTGGGCAGAGAAGGAACTTGCCGTCCATAGGGGTACAATGAGCCAGCTGGTCTGAACCCAAAGCCTTTGCTCCTCCACAGGCCTGGCTGAGTCTGACCATCCACCTGGCTGTGGACTTCAAGGACCAGTGGGCAAGGGCTTGGGGCTCCAACTTTAGAACGCTGTGCCGGAGAACTTCCTCAGCTTGGGGCCTGCCCTCTGTCCCCTGCCAGACAGTCCAGGGACAGCGAGAGTCTTCAGCTCCATCTCAACCTCACTTCCTGAGAGGACAGCGGGGACTCACACACACCCATAGGATGGAACTCTGATGGGGGAACCGTAGGTGTGGGTGGGGAGACACACGCAGTGAGGCGTCCTGGCCCACCATGGCTGCCACCTGAGCCCTGCCTGGTGTGACGCTAAGGGAGACACTTGCCCCCCTCAGCTGACCTCCGTACCTGGAACTAACACCCAAACACACCAACAGACACTCCTCCGTTCATTCTGTTCATTCTCCAAACGCTCAAGATCTGCCAACTTTGCCACCCACATGCACCCCCCACTTCTGGAACTCAGACCCCGGTTCTTCTCAGGAGGACCTCTCTCCATTCCAGAGGCTGGTCTGTGACTCAGGACAGTGCATCCCCCAGGTCATATGCTTAAGTGCCCACCTCAACCAGCCCGAGAGATCTGAGGCTTTGGTGAGAGACATACTTGCCCTTTTCTCGAAGGACATGAGTGAGGGCACTGTAAAGTCTGGACCTGCAGGAGTAAAACTGTCACCAGGAGGGTGGGTGCTAACCCAGAGAACCAGAACCAAAAGGTGTAGTTACTGAATCCAAGTCCTGACAACCCTGCTCGAACCCCTAGATCAACCTGTGCCTGAAGCCCATCCAATGACATGAACCAGTTGATTTCCTGTTTTACTTAAGCCCAACAGGGTTGGATTTTCTGTCACTTGCAACCAGAGGGTCCTGATATGAGAATAGACACAAAATTTGGTGAGGTGGCTATTTCAGCTCGGCCTTCACCTGCCTATGAAATCAGGTCACACATGATCTTATTATAAATCACTAAGATCGTTAAGCCTGGAAAGACTAAGGAGCTCTAGAGTGAGTCTTCCAGGGGTTCTAGAGCAAGCAGGCTGGGGTTCAAAAGGAATGGAGCATGGGAGTGTATAGATGTTCATGTGATACTTTTTGTTCTATCCATCCAGCCATTCATCTGTCTATCAGCATATCTCTCTCTATCCATCCATCCATCCATCCATCCATCCATCCATCCATCCATCCATCCATCCATCCATCCATCTCTACATCTTTCTCCATTCATCCATCCATCCTATCAGCATCTATCTATCTATCTATCTAATCATGTTCACACACACACACCCTCCCATTCTCTCTCTCTCACGTTGCGGATCCCTAGGAGAGGAGGAAATGACCGGCTGGGAGAACAGTAACTAAATCAAAGGCTGCCCACAGGTCATGTCTGCAGTGGAGGGTGGGGGCTCAGGAGCAGAGGAGAGCCAGGAGCCCCAGCCCGCCCTGGCTGTGGGCATGGACTGAACAACCCCCTGCCTTTACCCAGCTTCACCAGAGCCCCCTCCCCAGCCTAACTGCTGGGCGGCATACGATTTGGCCTCCAGCCCACGCACATGGGAACCAACTACTACCTGCTAAGCCGGCCCTGAGCGGAGGGATAAAGGGATTACTCGGATCGATGCAGCTGCTGGCGTCTGACTGCACCAGCTAATCCTCTCTGTGCTCAGAGCAGGCATCAGCTCTTCGTAGCAAAAATCGATGGTGCTGACGGAGCTCCCCAGGGAGGCGCCCCTGGGAGGGGTGGGGGAGATGAGCTCCATCAGAGGAACCTCAAGAAGGGGCTTGAGTGATCTCAGGGCAACAAGCCCAAGCCACTGCCTCTGGGGGTCTGAGACGGAGGCTGGCGTTAGAGGCGGCACCGCCCACCTCCTTCTCTAACCAGTGCTGGGGCTGACTGTCTCCTCCTCCTCCCTCTCCTTCTTCTCCTCTTTTTAAAAATTGAGGTGAAATTCACATAATGTACATTCACAGTGTTGTGCAACCAACACCTCTGTCTAGTTCCAAGGCATTCTCATCACCCCAAAAGGAAACCCCGTACCCATTAAGCAGTCACTCCCCCGACCCCCCAGCCCCAGCCCCTGGTAACCACTTAATGTGTTTTCCTGTCTTTCTGGATTTGCCTGTTCTAGACGTTTCATGCACGTGGGATTGTACAATATTTGTCCTGTCGTGTCTGGCTTATTTCACCCAGCACTGCGTTTTCAGGGTTCAGCTGCATCGCAGCCTGGATCAGAACGTCATTTCTCCTTATGGCTGAGTAATACTCCATTGTGTGAACGGACCACACTGTGTTTCTCCATCACCTGTTGATGGGCACTTGGGTTGTGTCACCTTCTGGCTGCCGTGAACAGTGCTACAGTGAACATTGGTATACACGTATCTGCAATCCTGTTTTCAAGTCTTTTGCGTACGTAACCCAGGTGTGGAATTGCTGGGTCACAGCGCAATTCTATGTTCAGCGTTTTGAGGGTACCTTTCTTTTACAGAAGGGTGTATACAAAGGCTCAGGGTCAGAGGTCATGAGACTGGCTGATGGTCCAGCTCAGGGGCCCACGTGCCCAGGGGCCCACCAGGGGGGTTGAGCTTGCCTTCCTTCTCCAACAGGCAGCCCCCTGCTTCTCTGCCAGCTGCACTGGCCCTGCCCTGTGCGAACTATGCCAACAGCGCTCAGAGCCAGGCCAAGCCACCTGCCTCAGTTTCCCCATCTGGCAGACTACGACGAAGCAAAAGACATCTCTGAAGCTTGAGCCTGATGACACAATAGAGGCCTGGCCTCCTGGCAGCACACACCCAGCCTTGCCCAGGGGTGGGGGCAGTGAGGAGCCGCAGGAGCTTAGAGCCGTGTGTCCCCATGGAGACCAGTGGGGGCAGCTGCTGTGTGTTGGAGGACCCCCCCCAGCCCTGCAAGTGTGGGCACCGTCTGGCCCCCGGGGACTCGCCTTCCTCAGAATCTCATCAGACCCACCCAGACCACCAGGTCCCAACATCGCCTCGCCAGCATGCCCACCCACAGAGGAAGGAGCTCAGCTGCCAGCCCAGGGTACTGCAAGAAGCATCTGGAAGCAACCAGATGCAGAAAGAATTTCAAGTAACCCGCAGGATACAGAGGGGCTGCCCTGCTGGGAAGCCTGGCATGGCCTGTTGCTGGGCCCACCCCCAACGGGGCAACGGGGAGACGGCGCTGGCCAGGGTCTGGGGAGATGTGCCTGAGGGCAGCTGGGAGGGGGCTGGCTCTCCCAAGAGAGACAGAGAAAGATACCGGGACAGAAACAGAGAGAGGTAGAGGAGAGAGAGACAGAGAGACAGAAACAGAAAGAGGAGAGAGAGGGACCCAGCTGCAGAGGCCTGAGTGCTGCAGCCCACGGCCCAGTGCCCCCAGCAGTGCCCCAACCCAGGCCCACCCTACCTGCCGAGTAGGGCTCCTGCTTCTCAGGGTAGATGAACTCATTCCTCTCGTACTTGGCTCGGATCCACTGCTCTCGAAGGAGTCTGCAGAGAGAGGGGAGACTGAGTCTGCCGCTGCAAGGGCAGCACCACTAACCCACCCAGAAACCTGTCGCCCAGTGGAACGTTTCAGAACAGGGACGGGCAGGGCAGGGCTCCTGGCACCCTCAGCCGACTTAGGGCATGGCCCCTCTGGGCAGGAGACCACGAAAGAACTGCTGGGGTAGAGGTTCAGTGTTTAACGCTGGGATCATGGAATCTGGCTGCCTTTGAGTTTTTAAAATGTTTTGCTAATCAGATAGTTTCATCTTTTAATACCTCCTTTTTTGTTTGTTTTTTATTGAGACGTAATTCACGTACCATAAAATTCACCCTTTTAAAGTTTATAATCCAGTGATTGTTTTAGTATATTCATAAATTTGTGAAACTATCACCATAGTCGAAATCCAGAACACTTTCATCACCCCAGAAAGAAACTCCATGCCCCTGATCAGTCAGCCCCATTCCTCCTCCCCCCAAAAAAAAACAAAAACCAAACCCCTTGCCGTCAAGTCCAACTCATAGCGACCCTATAGGAGAGAGTTCAACTGCCCCATGGGGTTTCCAAGGAGCAGCTGGTGGATTCAAACTGCCAATCGTTTGGTTAGCAGCCAAATGCTTAACCACTGTACCACCAGGGCTTCCCCCCAGCCCCTGGCACCACTAATCTACTTTCTGTCTCTATGCATGTGCCTATTCTAGACATTTCATATAAGTGGAACCATACAATATCTGTCCTTTTGTGTCTGGTGTCCTTCACTCAGGATTATGTTCTCAAGGTTCATCCATGCGTGGATCAGAACTCCATTTCTCTTTATGGCTGGGTAGTAGTCCATTGGATACTTCCTTTTAATGTGCACTTCTGGGGTTATTAAACCCATTAACCCATTACAAGCCAACGAACACCCGGGGCTACAGAAGCTGGGAGAGACAAGGAAGGACACTCCCTTAGGGCCTTCGGAGGGGGCATGGCCCTGCCAACACCTTGATTTGGATGCCTAGCATCCAGGCTGTGAGATGGTGAAATTTCGGTTCTTATGAGCCGACCACTCCGTGGTATTTTGTTACGGCAGTGCTAGGAGACTCATACAGACTATCATGCCCCAGGAGAGGCCCCCTGAAGGTGCCCCCAGAAGGAAGGTCCCTACCCACCCCCGAGGGAGCCAGAGGCCTGGGGCCAGTCTGAAGCATCATCATCCTTAGCTCCAGGTGCCAGGATCTCCCCACTCCCCATCAGCCCCTGCAGCTTCTTCTCTGGTTTTAGCCACATAATGCAGGTCGATACCATCATTGAGATTGGGCATTACACCACCTGGCTGGCTGAGACAAAAGTCAGGGCTGGGCCTTTCGGACGGTGTCCGCCACCCCAGTCCCCCAGGCCTTGGGGTTTTTCTGTTTCCCGTCAATTACACAGAACAGAACAAACAGGAAGCCTCTGGCTTCTCGGCCGGCGGATCACCGGCAGTGCTGGGGCTCACACCCCAGGGGATGGGGTCTGCCCCTCCTACTGCGGCCTCGGCCTCGGCCTCGAGGGACCCTGGAGGCCCGGCTCAGCAGCTCGAAGGCATGACCATGGGGAGTCACCCCCTCCTGCCCAGTTTCTTATCTGTGACACAGAGGTAAATTACACCTGCTCTTGGAGCTGTGGGGGCCCATGTGTCTTGTGTGTGGCAGGCAGGGCACCTGGCGGTCAGTGTGATGGTGGACATAAAAGGGGGTCAGGGAACTGCGTCGGCAGACGGCCCTCGTGTGGCCTCGTCAGACCCTCCCCTTAGGAATCCACACACAGGGCTTCCCGGGCCTGGCACGGAGGTTTCCAGAAGCAGCAACAGGAGGAAGCTCTGGTAGTGGGTTCCAGGACAGGCGGAGGTCAGTAGCTGCATACCCACCCCTTCAGCAGGACCACCTGGAATCAATCCTGTTGGTCACAGCAGAGTCCTGGCCAGAACGACCACGGAGAGCTGGTCGGACCCCCAGAGGCCACTGGGGGCACCAGCATTTCCTGGTATGTCCTCCGCAGGCCAGCCCTTGGCCATCCTGCAGCCTCGCGTATGTGGGGGTGGGGGGCGGCACCAGGACCCCCACTGACGGTGAGGAAAATGTGCTCAGAGCCCTAGAAAGGGGCCAGGGCATAACCCAACCAGAGCCCGTGCCCACCCACTGCCCACGGGGGTTTCAGGAGTGCCAGCTCCCATGCACCCCAGTGCCTCTGGTGCCAGACCCCAGGGTCACAATGGCCCTCACACCCAGCGCTGGACTCACACGGCTGGGAGGTGCTTGGGGTGACCACCTCCCGGGCATGGGCTCAGAGCGGGGACACATGGGAGCCCTAGGGCACTCCTACACTGGGGAAACTGAGGCTGGGTGCCTGTCTGCAGAGGCGCCTGCAGCGCTCACCCTGATGGGCAGCTGGCCCACAGACGCCTGTTGAATAAAGAGGGGAAGCAGCCGCCGTGGGCAGCAAAGCCAGGAGTGGCAGTGATATTCGAATTTGGGGTTCCCCAGGATCGGCCCCTCTCTCAGTGGTATAAAGCTGCCCTCAGAACACTGCATGGAACTCAGTTCTGTGTGCATTTGAACTGGACTCGTGAGTCTGGGTCGGCCCACCCAGGCCAGCTCAGGGTCACAGGCTCCAGGAGCAGCCACGAGGTGGGCAGCCATAGCATCCCACAGCCCACAGCATCCCACAGTTTACACAACACCTCCCCACCCCCACCTCCTACCATTTCCACAGCACTTTACAGTTTACATTGCACATTTCCACCCTGCCTCCTACCATCCTACAATACCTTACAGTTTAACAGCCCAGCCCCTATCATTCCACAGCCCTCTAGAGCTTCTACAGCCCGTTTACACCCCACCTCCGATGATTCCACAGCACTCTACAGTTTACACAGAAAGTCATGTCTCTCCTATCACGTCACAGCACTCTACAACACCTCCCCTCCTACCAGTGGACAGTACTCTACAGTTTGCACAGAGAATCACATATTTCCTCCTACCATTCCCAGTGCTCTACAGTGAGCACAGTGTGTTCACACCCCATCCCCACCCTGGGTCTCAGGACTGCGAGGTGAACTGCCTGCAGAGGGTCTCCCCAGTGGCCCAGCAGGAAGGGGGCTTCTCCCAGGACCCCACTCTGCCCCTGGACACTGTACTCTCCTGGGTCCCCACAGCTGCGCCCCATGTACAGCTGAGACCCTGTCGTGGGGAGGGGGGAGGCACAGGCTCAGGGCGGTGCGGCCCCCACACCTACAGACAAGGGCTCAGGGGGGCCCAGGAGGGCGGGGTCGGCACCTGGCACCCAGTCCCCCTCAGAGTTGCACCAGCTGTGGTGGACCCTGCAAGGTGGACGGAGATGGGGGACACGGAGCAGAGCTCAGCCAGGCAAGAAGGGCAGGCGCAGGCAGCCTTGCGGCAGGGTGATAAAATCATGTCTCAAAAATAGTGCTGTGCACACCACGGCCGCTGACTCATCCTGAGACAGCCTGGGGCCCCAGCAGCCCAGGGAAAAAGGGTGGCTGATTGGACCTCCCATCTCAGGATGTGAAACCCACCCCTCCACCAGAGGTGCCCCTCCTCCGTCTCAGCCTCCCCCACTAAGGAGGAGGTGGGGTGAATGCAAGCAGTTCACTGGCTGGTTCCCAGCCTATGGTGACAGGCAAGGACGGCCAGTGAACTCACCTACCAGGCCTGTCTCCCCACCTGTGAGGTCACCCAGGCTCTAGTGAGGTTTCCTGTAAAGCACTTAGCACCCAGCCCAAGGGGTGGGGGTGGGGGAGATGCTTGTTATCAGTGACAAGGAGGTGGATCACTTATTATCCGGACACACTTCCCAGCCCTTCTCCCTGCACCAACCCCAAAGGCCCAAGAGTAGCTTGCTGGATCTCAGCCAAGATATCCTCTGTCCCTCCTTCCCTCCCTTCTTCCCTTCCATCCATCCCCTATCCATCTCCATCCACCCACCCATCCATCCTTCCATCCTTCTATCCATCTATCCATCCCCCCACCCACCCACCCACCCTTCCATCCATCCATCCATCCATCCACTCTTCCTTCCTTCTTTCCTCCCCACTCCTTCCCACCCTGAAACACTCTCTGACAGCCAGGCCCCATGGATCTCTTGTGGAGCTCACAGTCTTGGGGGCGCAGGCCCCAAACTGGCGCCCTGCGTGTCAGAAAGCCCTGCAAACACTCCTGGGGACCTGAGTCCCCACCCACAATTCCTGAGGCCAGGCCCAGTGCAGAGCCAGGCAGGTCTCAAGCCCTAAATCCCGGCAGCCCCCACAGCAGCCAATACCAACAGCCTCATTGGGGGAGTGGGGCTGCCCACCCTCGGAGAGTCCTGGGGGCTGCCTCCAGGATGGACAGGGAAAGCCATTTGTGTGTGTGTCCATTTAACTCCAATTACAAAACACAAGACTCCTGAGCCCGGCATACCTGCGCCTCAGAGGTGATTAAGTTTGAAACAGGAAACTATAGAAGGGAAATGCCCAGCAAACCAGAGGCTGGGTGGTGCCCAGGTGGGGAGAGGGGCAGGTTTGGTGGTGAATGGGGGACTGGCCTAACCATAGGCCTCGAAGACTGGGGTGGGGCCTCGAGGGTGGGCTGGACAATAGCTGTAAACAGCACCACACCCCCCGACTCTAACTTTGGGCAGGAGGGTCTGGGGGGCCTGAGGGGCCAGGGGACAGGAGCTGGGCCGGCAGGGAGAGAAGAAGGCTGCCAGAAGGAGCTGACAGGCTGAGGAGCGATCATGTGTGGGGGCCAGGTGCAGCCAGGCAGAAGCCCTGGGGGGCACCTCCCTTTCTGAGGCCCCAGAGTCTGGTGGTCACGTGCCCCCCATCACCATCCCAAGACCCTCCCCCCTGCAGCAGCCGCGGTCAGGGTAGGGGTGTCACTCACTGGCAGTCGGAGAAGGAGGGCCGGTAGTAGAAGGAGGGCACCCTGACCTCGTAGGTGGCTCTGGCGGCATCGTTCCCGTGGGAGGCCATGAACTGCAAGAAAGAGGAGGTCAGCCTGACTCCTGCTCCGGCTGCGGGTATGGGCTGACCCCCAGGCCACAGCCAAGGACTTGGCCACTGCTAGATGCGAAATCCAACTCCCTCCTGTCCCAGAGTGAGTGGGGAGGGACGGGACCCACCCTTTGCCCTGCATCCCTCAGGCCTGGTGTTGGGGTGGGGTAGGGAGAGGCGGGGCCTCCACCCCCAGTCAATTTTGGTCCCACAAACCACCCGAGGTCTCGGCTATAGGGCCTGTACCCTCAGCCTGACACCCCAGCTCTACTTCATTAACAACAACAAAGGTTGCCGTCCAGTCGACCCCGACTCATGGTGACCCACTGTGTGTCAGAGTAGAACTGTGTTCCATAGGGTTTTCAATGGCTGATTGTTTGGAAGTAGATCGCCAGGCCTTTCTTCTGAGGCGCCTCTGGGTGGACTCAAACCGCCAACCTTCTGGCTAGCAGCAGAGTGTGTTAACCATTTGCGCCATCCAGGGACTCCCACCTCATTCAAGGCCTGGCTGATTCACTATCAGCAGATGTTAGCAAGCAGCGACTGTGTGCAGACGCTTTTGGGGATCTAGGGACAGATGAGCGGGGGCAGACCCTGCTGGCCCCAGATGAAGCTGATACTCCTGTGAGGCAGCAACAGTGTTCTGAGCCCTGTGAGCCCTGAAAACAGCCAAGGTTAAGAACTGCTCCCACACTTGGTGTTCCGGGAAAGTGTGTTGCAGAGATGCCCTCTCCCCACATGACTCAGACAAGACTCTTGGTGCCCCTGGTCTACCCGGGACAAGGCAGATCCAGACCCTCCAATCCCCACCCCAGGCCTCATACATGATCAACTGAGCTGCTTGTCCCACTGGCCAGTGGGAACAAGATGCTGGTTAACCACTTGGGTCAGGGTTTCCCCTTCCTCCAGGCCCCTGAACAGGGCCCCCCAGCCTGAGCCAGCATCCAGTCCCTCCTTAAGGGCCCCCCTGAACAGATGGCTCTCAGGGCAGAATATTCTGACTTACTATCCCATCTAGCAGACAGCTCAGCCCACTCCCCTTCCCACACTCAGTCCTTTCTAGCCGCTTCACTCTCCTCTCGGTCAAAGAAAAACGTTCGTTGTCTAACTCTTGAGACGCTTGCTGAGTTTATGGTCAGAGTTCTCCCTATTGTAATAGCCATCCCCCTACTGCAGTAGACCTCCCCCCTGTATTGCAATAGTTCCCTCCCCCTACTACATTAGCCCCCTCCCACTATTCCAACAGCTCCCCCACTGCAATAGTCCCCTCCCCTACTGCAATAGTTCCCTCCCCCCATTGCAATAGTCCCCTTCCCCATGGCAACAGTCCCCTCCTCCTATTGCAATAGTCCCCTCCCCCTACTGCCCCCACTGCACTAGCCCCCCTCCCGCCTTGCACTAATCCTTCTGAATAAAGGGTCCCTTACTAAGTCTGGATTTGCTTTTTATTGACAGCACACAGACTACAAAGATAAAGAGCAGGATTCCAAACTGCAACAAATGTTAAACGCGAATGACACAGGAGACGTGAGGGAGTCCAGCAGAGGCGTGCGGCCAGTTTATGAACGTGACCAAGAGGGCATCTCAGAGAAGGCAACACTTAAGCAAAGTCGGAGACAGGCCAAGAGGCAGTCTTGCAAATGGTGTTCCTGGCCTGGGAAACAGCATGTGCAAAGCCCTCAAGGCTAGCAGGTGCTTGGCCTGTTGGAGAAGGTGCCGATGGCCAGCATGGGTGGCCAGGGAAGAGGGAGGACAGAGAGGCCAGAGGGGCCAGATCACACACCTTGAGGGCCAGGGGAGGAGGTTGGATTTACTAAGCACACATGGCCAGGCCTTTTTCCTGGTCTGTCTTAGAAACCTGTCCAACATGGGTCATCCTGCTAGTATTTGAAATACCGGTGGCATAGCTTCCAGCATCACAGGAACACGAAAGCAACACAGTCAAGGCCTGGCAATCGACTTCCGAAAATCAGTCAGTGAAAACTCCATGGGTCATAACAAAATATTGTCCCACTCAAACAAACAGGAAGGATCAATCACTGGAGGAGGACATCATGTTTGATAAAGAAGAGGGCCATCGAGGGCATGGGAGACCATTGGTGAGGTGGATTGGCACAACAGCCATGACAAGGGACTCGAACATGCTGGCAGTTGTGAGGATGACGCAGGACTGGGCAGTGTTCTGTTCTGTTGTACATAAGGTCTCCGTGAGTCGGAGCTAACACCACCAACAAGAGCAGGGCGACCACTGCCGAGTTTGGAGCAGGGGGCTGACATGAGGCCTTTTCCCGAAATGCCCCTCCCCGTGGAGCTGCCTCCTGGTCACCCTTCCCCCTAAAACCACCAAGCTTTGAGGACCATAGGTCATAAACATAGAGGACTCAAGAGAATGAGCTGGAAAAAATGATAAACAATAGCGTGATTCAGCAAGAGGCTGACACAAAATTCACAAAGCAATTGGCTCTCCTTGGAAACGGAGGGTAGGGACGGGTTCGCAACAGGATGAATACAACTAATGTTGCTGAACTGGACACGTGAAGATTGTTGGGATGGCAAATGTTTTGTTACATGCTTAATTACCAAAATTAAAAAAAAAAAAAAAAAAAGCAATGGCTCTCCTGTGTAAAACATCAGAAGGTACAACAGAAGAAAAAACTCTATTTACGATACCAATTAAACGATGATAAAACACGTGAGAGAAAACTAAATAAAAAGTGTTCAAAATCTCTACAAAGAAAATGTTTATATTCCCCTGAGGGACACAGAAGAAACACTGAACATGATCTTGGATAGGGAGATGTAAAAATGTTGTCTCCATATGCGTATCTATAAATTTAACGCAATCCCCCAAAATAACAACAGAATTTTTCAGATGATTGTGAAGTTCATTTGAAAAATTAACCAGCAAAAATATCCCAGAGAATTCTGAAAACTGAGAAGGAAGGCTCTTTCTACCAGATATGAAAATAGAGTTTCTTTTTTGGGGTGATGGAAAGGTTCTGAAATTTGATAGTGGTGATAGTTGGACAATTCTGCAAACATAGTAAAACCCACTGAATTGTATACTTTAAAAGGATGAATTGCATGCCATGGTATATGAATTGTAGCTCAATAAAGCTACTATTTAAAAAAAATAATACTAATCTTAGGACAGCCATAAACCCCAAAACCATACAAGAGAAGAGTGAAAAATTTGACTACATAAAAATAAAAAAATTTCCATGGAAAATAACACTATGAGCAAAGTTAAAAGACAAACAGCCTAGGGGGGGAAAAAGTTTTCAACTAATACCTGAGAGAGTTAACTTCTCTAAGATACAAAGAATCTGTAGAAGATCAAAAGAACTAACAATGCAATAGAAAGCTGGGGAGGGGTGCGAACAGACAGTTCACAGAAAAGAAAGCCACAATGAATCTAAAACATATCACGAGATGCTCAGTGCCGCTTAGGATACGAAAATTCCCAATTAAGACTGTCCAGGAACACGATTTTCACCTATTTGACCACAAAGGGAAAACAATGGCTCCCACGAGTGTGGGCAGGGATGCAAAGCCCTCTCCTAACGTCGCTGGGGAGCCTGTAAGCAGTTATGGCAGAAAGTTTGGCAAAATCTCTCAAAAATCACCAAGTCATGTCCCCTTTGACCTCTAGGCTACAGCAGTTGGCCCTCCCAGCAGCACAGGCCCCTCTGAGGTCACACTCAGGCTCTCTGGACTCCCAGGGCTGAGGGGCTCTTGGACAATGTCCATGGCCCGAGAGAGACGGGGAAGGGCCAAGGTCCCACCGCATGCAGTCTCCTGAGTGGTTTTGCCCATCACCCAGCCCCTGTGGGTCCCCCTTGCCCTATCCCCACCCCGGTGCCCCTGCGAGATGCCCATCTCCCCATCCCCCCGTCCCCACCCTGTGTCCCTGCAGGTTCCTCCTTGCCGGGCCCCTACCTCCACTTGAGCCTCATCCCAGGTATCCAGGCGGACCGACTTCACCTTGCTGACATGGGGGATGTTCCGGTGGATTCCGGAGCAGCTCAGGCAGATGAACACTCCAAGGGTGTGGGAGGCCCAGTCAGGGTCTGGAAGGCAAAGGCCAGGGTCAAGCAGGCAACTGAGAAACCATGAAGGGTAGACAGAGCATCAGGTTAGGGTCCTAGGGCCCTGGCTGGAAGTCCCCATTCTGCAAGCACCTCTCGGCCTCAGTGTCCCTGTTGGTGCAACAGGAGGCCAGGGGAGGAGACCCCTGGGATCTAAGCCAGGGTCCCACCCTCACTGTCCTGGTCATCGTCCCAGGTCCCCAGAATGCTGGGGGCACTTGTGTAAGATGTCACCACAGTAGGTGTGAGTCCACACAGGAAGCTGAGACCTCAAGGAGGGCCACACCCCTAGAGCCCTGCCTTCCAGGAGGCTACCCCCAGAGCTGACCTGTGGGCCAATTCACACCCAGGAAGGCCACCAATTATTCTCCACTTGAAATGAGAGATGGACAAGAAATTGCTTTTCTTTGGGGGAAAAAAAAAAAAAAAAAAAAAACACCTTTCTGAGATCCCAGGTACATATCTCAATTCTAATTGTAATTAAAAAAGAAAAAAAAATTGCCGTCAGGTTGATTCCCACTCCCAGTGGCTCCCTGTGTGTTAGAGCAGAACTGTGCTCCACAGTGTTCTCAATGGCTGATTTTTTTGGAAGTAGATCACCAGGTCTTTCTTCTGAGGTGCCTCGGGGTGGACTCGAAGCTCCAACCTTTGGTTAGCAGCTGAGCACATTCACTGTTGGCACCACCCAAGGACTCCTCAACAAATATACATTTACACACAGACACAGCAAATAGGGCACCATGTTAGCAACGGCTGAATCAGAATGGTGGGTGGATGAACCACACCAAATGGCTAAGTCTGCCTCTCCATGTGTGAAAGTTTTCCTGCGAAATGAGGCAAAGTAAAAATACCACAGACTGGGCAGCTTGTTGAGTTGGGGGCGGGTGTGTGGGCACTCCTTATGCGGTTCTGATCATTCTTCTTCCCGTTCTGGGTCTCTCGTTGTCATAACCAGGTAAAGGGGAAGCTGGGACTGAGGGAAGGGGTCCTGCGGATCGTACTCTCTAGAGAGGGAGGAGTCAGCGCTAAAGTACAGCTCCTGGATACAACCAAAACCAAACCAAACTCCTTGCTGTCAAGTCGATTCCAACTGACGGCCATGCCACGCGTCTTGGCTGTAATCTTTATGGGAGCAGATCCCCAGGTCTTTCTTCCACGGTGCCTCTGGGTAGGTTCACAAAGCCAACCTTTCAGTTAGTAACCAAGTGCAAACTGATCATGCCACCAGGGATTTCCACCTGATCAGGTGGGCTTAAATCAAGGTGCTCGGTGGCTCTGGTGGCTGAGGGCCCCCTGAGGACTACCTCCCTCAGGCGCCGCCACCACCCCAGAGCACAAACCAGCAAGGACACTCCGGCCCCCACCATCTGGCCTGAGAGCGCAGTGCTGATCCACCCTGCAGTCACTGCCAGTCGGAGGAGCGGGGGCTGGGAGGGAGTGCCAGTGAGGAGTCCAAAGGCCTGGGGTGCCATCATGGTCCCCTGCCCCATGTGGGGTCCCCTGCCCTGTCTAGGTTCCTCTGCGCTATCTGGGGACACTTTCCTCTTGCGGTGGCTGCATGCCAGCTCAGGCCACCCCCCTCCCAGAATGTGGTTTTGCATGTCCCTTCAGGAGTTCCTGGAGAGCCCACCCTGGAGCCAGGCAGGCTGGGATCCTCAGGCTGGGCCCCCCAGGTCAGAGCCTCTCAGGCTGGGGGGCCGGGCCGCAAACCCTCACAGTGCACAGTTCTACATGGTATGTGTGTGGGGAGAGGAGAAAGAGGGGCCCCAGGCTCCCCTGACCACAGGTCCAGGCCAAGGACCCACCAAGCCCGCGGCCTGGTGGTCAGACTTCACGGGGCTCAGGAGAGGGAACCATACCCCAGCCCTGACCTAAGTGCTGGCCCAGGGAGGAGCCCAGTATCCATGTACCGGCCAGGCCATGGTTGCTGCGCACACCTCCCTGCCGCTGGGCGGAAACAAGGCGCTCCCTGCCAGGGAGACCTGAGATGGCAGAGAGGTGGGTGGGTGTGGGCATGAGGCTGGCATCAAGGATGCTACTCTGCCACCTCCCAAATCCAGCTTCCACACGTGGCCCCGATCTCCAGGCCAGGGCACACCTGCCAGGGTAGAGTGCTGTCACCCATCCCATTCTGCAGAGGGAGGTGCCGAGGCCACTTACCCAAGAGCACACTTCTCAGGGCACTGCTGGCTAATAGAGATGTTAACTGAGGCCCCTGGGCCCTCCCCAGCAGAGCACCTCTCTGCAGTAACATCACTGCCTGTTGGCACCACATGGCAAAGCTCAGCAGGGCCTTCAGCTGCTGGCTGAGCCCTGGCGTCCAGTTCCTCCTGCATAGTTAATGGCAGGCTTGGGCTGCAATTTGAACTTGCCAAATGGGAGAGGGTACGGGGTGTCTTTGTGGCCTGTTTACCGGGGTGGAGGTGGCAGTACAGGAAGGGAACAACCTGGTCTCTGGAGGTGAGAGAGGGTGGTAGAGGGAGACTGGGGCAGGGGAGAGAGGAGCAGCCAGGCACACTCTCGGGGATGCCAGCTCGGAGGAGCCCCCGGCCCCAGGAGCCTCGGGTTGGCACTAAGACCACCACTGCTCCATGTCGCTGCCCATGGCTTCACTCCCAGCCATCAGACTCCTCTCAAAACACAGAGGAGGCAGCTGGCATCAGCGGCGCCCAGCCAGGGCAGCGAGGTGGGGAGCCGCCAAATGCCCCCAGGTCTGGATGCCATGACTCTGGGGACTCCCTCAGCTCAGAAGAGCCATAAACAGAGGCGGCAGGGCAGCTGCCACCCCCAGCACAACCGAGACCCCATCTGATGTCTCCTCTTATCTCCCAGCCACAGGTGGTTGGGCCTTCGCCTCCCCCGGCCTCTCCACTCTGGCCCCCAATCCACTCACTGCCGCCTGGAAGCCAGAGCGGTACTTTTTCTTATCTTTTAATTTTATTGTGGTAAAACCCATATAAGAAAAAGCCTGTCATTCCAACATCCCCAAGTGTACAGCTCAGTGACAGCAACTGCATTCACCATGGTGTCCAACCATCACCACTATCCATTTCCAGAAGATTTTCATTCCCCCCAAACAGAAACTCCGCATCCCTTTAGCAATAGCTCCCCCTTCCCCAGCCCCTGGGAACCTCTAATCTACTTTGATCTCTAGGCACTTGCCTATTCTAGATACCTCACAGAAGTGGGATGATACAGTATTTGACCTTTTGTGACGTCTTTCACTCAGCACCATGTTGTCAAGCTTCATCCGGGTCACAGCATGGATCAAGACTTCATTCTTTATGGCTGAGTAACAGTCCACAGTGTGGAGGAACCACATTTTGTTTATCCATCATCTGTGATGGACGCTTGGGCTGGCTCCACCTTTGGGCGATTGTGCAAGACACAAATCGCATCAACCTTGTTTGGACCCCAGGGACTGCCCACCACATCTCAGGAAACACCCTCTTCTCACAGCCCCAGCCCTGGAGGCCTTTCTGGCTGCTCCCCTAGCCTCCACCCACCGTGTCTCCTCTCCCCCAGCGTCAGCACCTGCCTCTCTGCCCTTTGCCCCGCTGCCCGTTTCTCCCCCATCCTGGGTCCTCCACTCAAGTGTCACCTCCTTGGAGGCCCGCCCTGACCACCTACCTAGAGGAACCCCACCCAGCTCATCCCTAGCCCCACACCCTGATGTTTTTATGGGTGTGCCTGTCTGCCTATCTACTTATCTACTGCCTGTCTTAACCCCTAGGGTGTAACGTCGAGGGGTCAGGGGCCAGGTTGCCTGTGACCCTATCCCCACAGCCCAGCGCCAGGCAGAGGCAGAGGCAGACGTCTACCCTCTGGAAGCCAGACCCAGGTGGCCCAGCTGCCCCCTTGCCTGCCACTGCCCTGAATTCTTTTTTGACTGCTCACAGGATTCAAAGGGGCAGGCCACCCCCACTCTGTCCAGAGCGCTGACCTGGGGAGGCTTTTTTGGAGACAAAGGGTTTGCAGGGGTGGGGCCTGGGCATGTAGGGTTGAGGGGCAGCAGGTGGGCTCAGCTGTCCTTCAGCTCTGAGCCTCCAGGAAAGGGCAAAGGTTTGGGAGGTGACTCTCCCATTTTACAGATGGAAATACTGAGGCTGGAGAGCAGCAGGCCAGCCCTCACCCAGTGGCCCAGAGGCCCTGCATGAGGAGGTTTTCAGCAGTGTGTGGGGACAGTGTCAGACTCATGAAGGTCTCCCCCACAGGGTGAGCTGGATGTGCGGAGGCGTCTGCCCTATAGCCTTAGAATGTGTCATTCCTCAAGCTGAAAGTGGACCCCCCCCAGAGTCCCACAAAAGCCCTGACCCCGATGGTCTCACCTCACTAGGTCCTCCTGCCCTGTGTCCCTGTAGGATGGGCCCCTTATGCTGGCTCCCACCCCACACCAGCCACGGTCCCATGACCCCACCTGCAGGCTCCAGGACTCCTCGCCTATCCACTCCTCACTTGGGAAAATGCTGCCCCAACAGGTAAAGAAAGGGTGGCCACCCATCACAAATGCAGCTAACTGGCCAACAGCCAGGACAGTGTGGGGCGCTCACCGTGGGGAGCAAGAAGGCGCCAGGCATCCAGGACACGCAGTGACGGGCTCACCCAGTACAGTCTGCTCGCTGCATCAGGCCGCCATGGGCCCCCATCCCCAGGGCCAGTGCCCTGACACAGCAAGAAGCCTGCCAGCATTCACAGCAATGGGGAGCGGGGACAGTGGGGGGTGGGGGGAAGCACTTCCCAGTGGGGTAGAGGCCTGGGGTGGACCACCTAGCACTCAGTGCGGACAGAGGGGACCACAGGCTGCAGGTTTTCAAATGGAAAATCACAAAATCACACGAAGGAAGGTTTCTTCCTCCCAAAGCCAGAAATCTGAAACTGTGGCCTCTCACCCTGCTCACGTTCAGAGGAAAAGAGGAACCTGGAGCCTCAAAGATTCTATAGAAGAATCCTGATCAAAAGGGGGAAAATGAGGAACAGAATTTAAAATTCTACAGAACCCAGACTTTTTGGAGCCATGGAGGCTGGATGAACTCCTGAAACTATTGCCCTGCGATAAACCATAAACCAAAATATCCCCTGAAGTCTTCTTTAAACCAAA